TATGGGCCTTTCCCCGTAAGGGGCCTTCCCCCTAAGGGGCCTTCCCCGTAAGAGGGTCCGCGTAAGGGGCCTTCCCCGTAAGGGGCCTTCCCCGTAAGGGGCCTTCCCCGTAAGGGGCCTTCCCCGTAAGGGGCCTTCCAAACGGAGGGTCACCCAAAACCATCGTTTTTCAATACTAAAAAATCGCATTTTTACTACGGGTCCGGCTAAATCCTGGGGCAGGGCCTTTAGAGTGACCCCCGCCAGAGCACCCCCACCAGAGCACCCCCGCCAGAGCACCCCCGCCAGAGCATCCCGCCACCGTAAGGGGCCTTCCCCGGAAGGGGCCTTCCCCGTAAGGGGCCTTCCAGGGGCCCTTATCTTTGACTCTCTAATGAAGAAGACGCAGGGCCAGGTCTCAGGGGCCTTCCCCGTAAGGGGCCTTCCCCGTAAGGGCCTTCCCCGTAAGGCGCCTTCCCGGAAAGGGGCCCTTATCTTTGACTCTCTAATGAAGAAGACTCAAGGCCAGCCCCGTAAGAGGCCTTCCCTGCCAGGGGCCCTTATCTTTGACTCTCTAATGAAGAAGGCGCAGGGCCAGCTCTCATGAGGCCGTAAGCGGCCTTCTTACGGGGCCTTCCCGTAAGGGGCCTTAAGGGGCTTTCCCGTAAGGGGCCTTCCCCGTAAGGGGCCCATAAGGGGCATCCCGTAAGTCTCCCCCTAAGGGGCCTCCCCTGTAAGGGCCTCCCTGTAAGAAGGACCTTCACGACCTTCCTGGAAGGGCTCCCTGTAAGGAGCCCCCCGTAAGGGGCCCTAAGGGCCTCTGTGACCCCCATCAAGGGGCTTCGTCGTCCTTCTCTATGAAGGGAAAATCTGAAAAATAAGGGGTCGTTTCCCGCTCTGTGAAGTCTCTTCTAAATTAACCGGAAATCGAGCACTTTCGGGCCGATCCCGGGTACCCCCCACGGTCCCGTTCTTATAAGAGGCCTGCAAGGGCTGCCTCTGTGAGGGTGCCCCCCGTCGTCCTTCTCTATGAAGGGCAAGGGCCTCCCCCCCCAAATCTGAAAAAATAAGGGGTCGTTTCCGCTCTACCAATTCTCTTCGAAATGGCCGATCCTGCATACCCCCCCACGGTCCCGTCAGGGGCCTCCCCGTAAGGGGCCTCCCCGTAAGGGGCCTCCCCGTAAGGGGCCTGGGCCTCCCTGTAAGGGCCTCTCGTAATACCCCCAAGGGGCCTCCCCGTAAGGGGCCTCCCCGTAAGGGGCCTTCCGTAAGCCTCTCCGTGTAAGGGGCCTCCCTGTAAAGGCCTCTCGTAAGGGGCCTCCCTGCAAGGGGCCCGTAAAGGGCCTCTGTGAGGGTCCCCCCATCAAGGGCCTTCGTCGTCCTTCTCTATGAAGAGCAAGGGGAGGCCTTTGGGCCTTATCTGGGTGTAGGGCTGCAAGGGTTGTTCGTCGTCTTTCTCAATGGACTCCTTGCAGGAAGAAGACGCAGGGCCAGCTCTCAGGGGCCTTCCCCGTAAGGGGCCTTCCCCGTAAGGGGCCTTCCCCGTAAGGGGCCTTCCCGGAAAGGGGCCCTTATCTTTGACTCTGTAATGAAGAAGACTCAAGGCCAGCCCTGTAAGAGGCCTTCCCTGCCAGGGGCCCTTATCTTTGACTCTCTAATGAAGAAGACGCAGGGCCAGCTCTCAGGGGCCTTCCCCGTAAGGGGCCTTCCCCGTAAGGGGCCTTCCCCGTAAGGGGCCTTCCCCGTAAGGGGCCTTCCCGGAAAGGGGCCCTTATCTTTGACTCTCTAATGAAGAAGACTCAAGGCCAGCCCCGTAAGAGGCCTTCCCTGCCAGGGGCCCTTTGACTCTCTAATGAAGAAGACGTAGGGCCAGGTCTCAGGGGCCTTCCCCGTAGGGGCCTTCCCCGTAAGGGGCCTTCCCCGTAAGGCGCCTTCCCGGAAAGGGGCCCTTATCTTTGACTCTCTAATGAAGAAGACTCAAGGCCAGCCCCGTAAGAGGCCTTCCCTGCCAGGGCCCTTATCTTTGACTCTCTAATGAAGAAGGCGCAGGGCCAGCTCTCATGAGGCCGTAAGCGGCCTTCTTACGGGGCCTTCCCGTAAAAGGGGCGTTAAGGGGCCTTCCCCGTAAGGGGCCCATAAGGGGCATCCCGTAAGTCTCCCCCTAAGGGGCCTCCCCTGTAAGGGCCTCCCTGTAAGAAGGACCTTCACGACCTTCCTGGAAGGGGCCTCCCTGTAAGGAGCCCCCCGTAAGGGGCCCTGTAAGGGCCTCTGTGACCCCCATCAAGGGGCTTCGTCGTCCTTCTCTATGAAGGGAAAATCTGAAAAAATAAGGGGTCGTTTCCCGCTCTGTGAAGTCTCTTCTAAATGAACCGGAAATCGAGCACTTTCGGGCCGATCCCGGGTTCCCCCCACGGTCCCGTTCTTATAAGAGGCTGCAAGCCTCCCCATCAGGGGCCTCCCGTAAGGGCCTCCCCGCAAGGGCTGCCTCTGTGAGGGTGCCCCCGTCGTCCTTCTCTATGAAGGGCAAGGGCCCCAGATCTGAAAAAATAAGGGGTCGTTTCCGCTCTACCAATTCTCTTCGAAATGGCCGATCCTGCATACCCCCCCACAGTCCCGTCAGGGGCCTCCCCGTAAGGGGCCTCCCCGTAAGGGGTCTGGGCCTCCCTGTAAGGGCCTCCCGTAATACCCCCCAAGGGGCCTCCCCCGTAAGGGGCCTTCCGTAAGCCTCTCCGTGTAAGGGGCCTCCCTGTAAGGGCCTCTCGTAAGGGGCCTCCCTGCAAGGGGCCCGTAAAGGGCCTCTGTGAGGGTCCCCCATCAAGGGCCTTCGTCGTCCTTCTCTATGAAGAGCAAGGGGAGGCCTTTGGGCCTTATCTGGGTGTAGGGCTGCAAGGGTTGTTCGTCGTCTTTCTCAATGGGCTCCTTGCAGGGGCCTCCCCTGTAAGGGGCCTCCCCTGTAAGGGGCCTCTCCGTAAACTGGCCCTTCCGTGAAAGCGGGCTTGGTTGTCCTTTACCCCCTATAAGGGGCCTCCCCATAAGGTCCTCCCTGCAAGGGGTCCCCACAATCCCCCCATTTGGGGGCCTTCCCCGTAAGGGCCCTTATCTTTGACTCTTTAATGAGGAGGAATGAAGGGCGTTCCTCCAAGGGCGTCCCCCCCCCCCCCCCCCCCCCCCCCCCCCCGCACCGGCCAGGCCAGGCCCTGCCCAAAGCCCTTTTCCTTGCAGAGGGTGGCTTTCTGGGCCAAAAAAAGTGGCACCGGACACTGTGCCCCGCCCAGGCCCTGGCCGGCGCCAGCGCCGGACAGCCTCCGAAAAGTGACGCCGGACACTGTCCGACCCTGTCCGGCGTTGGCGCCGGCCGCTCTCCGAACAGCGACCGTGCCCGTCTGGGCAGTTTGGAGGGGCACTCCGAATGCGGAGGTCTGGAAAACGGTAGCGAAAACGCGACTTTTCGCAGCCGGGTTTTCGCGCAAGGCCGCCAGCCTGTCCAGGATCGTTGACAATCTTCCGCTTCCGGACTATCCTTGTGCTGCTCACCGATTTTTTCTTGGGCCCCCTGCTTACGTTTTTACTTCTATCTGGATATGGACCCGCCGTGTTCGCTCATGTCGGACGCACTTCACGCCTTGGCCGCCCCGCTTTTTCACAATCCTCTGGGGACGTTTTTTCGCTTCTGTTCAAAAACATTAATTTTAAGAACAGTAAATTATTTTTAGATAACTCGTCTTTGTTTCACACTCTGTACATTGTCGTTTCACAGACTCGTGCACTGGCGCTGTGAAAAAGGACTGGAGGACATCAAGCCACACTCTCCCTGCAGCATCACAGCGTCTCGGTTCTTGCGCGACGCATGAAAGAGGTGCTCTGCTGCTACTAAGAGTACTATGATTGTTATTATTACTATTACTACTACTGCTACTGCTACTACTACTACTACTACTACTACTACTACTACTACTACTACTACTACTACTACTACTACTACTACTACTACTACTACTACTACTACTACTACTACTACTACTACTCGTTCTGTTCTGCTTGTAAGTTGTAAAGCTCCCGTCAGGCACATGAGTGGGACGCCTACATGTTCGCATGGTCGAACGTGCGAGCCGCTGTCTTGTGTTCTGTTGGTTCCACGTAGCGCGAGAACTTCCCGCAGTCTCTCTTGCTGTGTCGTAGAGCCTCTCGCACAGATGGCTGCCAGCCTCCGCAGCATGACCACGTTCGCCCGGTGCTCGGGCTTCAATGGTATGTGCCCATGGAAGTCGGCCTGCGGCCTCCCTCTGGATGACGGAGAGAGGAAATGCCCATTCTGCTGCGCTGACGCGTTGGACACTGCGCGAGCATCCCGCGGCGGCCAGGACATCACCATGGCCTTGAACAAATTGAAGGAGGTTTCGGCGGATGCTCTCCAGCAAGGGCTGTCTCGCCTCGAGAGGTTTGGAGGGGAAATCCTCCGCGAGGAGTACTCCCAACGCGTTGAGCGAGCCATCCGGAAGAGGTCCCTGGCGGCGATGCGCCGTCCAGCCGCTGCTGCTGCGGATGCCGCCGAAGCCAGTGACCTGCCAGAGAATGACGAGTGATGCGCGCCATACACAAACTGTGCGTTTCGTCCATGGCGGACGAGAGCTGCTTATCATTTTGTAAAGTAGGCGCTGACCTGCATGGCACCTCTCGCCGCGGCTGCAGTCCGCGGCCGCCGGCCGGCGGGTGCCCATCTAGCGCGTACTTGTAGAAAAGCTCAGAAGCAAGGGTCATGCTTCGTGCAGTCGTGCGTTGGTCTGAGGTTTCATGCACACATTGCACATATGCGTGTCTATATACATTATATATACAAACAAACATACACAGACAGTCATTGCATGTAAATAATAATATCAGACACATATCTGCATCGACCATGTCTATTTGCATACATGGCGCCCCAAACGTTTGGCTACCCGCTGCCTGGAAAGCTCACATTCTTGCCTCCTCTTTCTTGGTAGTTCTAGCTCCGTGCGCTAGCCTGCACCGACACTGCAATGGGCTCCCGTTCGAATCCAAAGCCATTCAAGCATGCTGGCAAGGGCGGCGGCGGCAAGTCCAGCCAAGTGGCCTCGTTCAGGCGGTTCGGGAAGAACCTCTTGCGCCACGGGCCGGACTCGCACGGCAACTTCCTCTGGATCCTGCGCAAGGGGCCGCAGTCCGAGCAGTCCGTCCTCAGCGGCAAGAACATCGCAACCTCCAGGACTGCAGAAAACTGCGAGGCATTGCGCAAACTGTCGAACTACATCTCTGAGGAGTGTGCCACCATCCACGTCGGCGTCTCTTACCTCCAGGAAGACATCGGCCTCGACTTCCTGAAGTACATGAAGGACCAAGGCTCCGACTTCCTGGCAGCTTGTGAATTCCTGAACAAGAAGAGCGAGGGAGAGAAGGCGGCAGACCAAGTGGAGCGCCATGTGAAGGCTTACTTGGGCTTTCTGCAGAAGCTGCCTGACGAGCGTCGGCAGCAGTGCCGCCGCCTTGCGCTGCACGCCGCGCGGCTCTATGTTTTGTCGACCAGCTTCCTGGAGCAGGCTGCATTGGTACAGTTTCCGTCAAAGTGGCATAAGAACGTGATCACGAAGAACCAGCACGAGAAGGCGAAAGCCTTCGTGCGCAGCGGTGACGAGAAGCACCTGAAAGCTTGGATAGGCGCCGTTGCTGCAGACAACCTCAAGCAGCAGCGGGACGCCAAGAAGGCTGCGAACGCTGACGGCACCAGCGACGAAGCTGGTGCTACTGGGTCTGCTACCACCTCCTCTTCCGAAGAGAATGGGCGAGCCAAGGGATCACCCAACCGCAGCGTGTCGAGTTCGAGCAATGGATCCTCCGCTGGCGCCAAGGCGAAGAAGCGCAAGGACAAGAAAGGTGAGCCCAAGCAGAAGGTAAAAGACAGGAAGCCCGCCGAGAAGAAAGAGAAGAAAGAGAAGAAGGCCAAGAAGGACAAGAAGGACAAGAAGCGGAAGGCATCGCCAAGCAGCTCGCCGAGTGCGGCTGCGGCGTCGCCGAAGCGCGGCTCGATGGCCGATCTTGAGGACTCCGAAGATTCGAAGGCGGAGACAGTGCCTGGCCCGACTACCGAGCAGACGCTGGCGCTGCGCACCTGGCAGCTCAGCGAGATTCAGTCTGCTGATGCAGAGTTGCAGGACTTCCTGGCACTGGCCTCGACCGAGGTAACCGTGGAAGCCTTTTCGAAACTCTTGCAGCTGGTGCCGGAGAACGTGCGGTTCAGCTTTGGCATCAAGCTCAAAGTGGAGCGCACCCGTCTTCCAAAGAACCTGGACGAAGTGATGGGTCGTCTGAAAGGCGTCTTCGAGATGGCAAGCCAGTTCTGGCACGCGCAGACGGTGCCGCCGGCAAATCCGGAGAGCTGAGCCGACGTAGACAACTTTGTTCTTCGAGTAGTGCAGTTTCGGGCACAGGCTTGCAAGTAATGTTTCTGTACTTCGTGTCCTGAGTCTTCAAAGCTCCAACCGTAGCTGATCTGCTTCGTCTGTGACAATCAAGGGCAGCTTTGCCGAAGTATTTTGAGCGCGAAGCGCCTCTGGCCGCGGCCGCAGTCAGCGGCCGCTGGCTGGCAGGTGCTCCCCACTGAGCGCCAGTAGAATAAGAGCAGAACAAAGGTTCGCGTGCAGATGCCAGTCCTGTTTCGCGTATCAGAAAGCTGCTTCTCGGAGCTTCATGTACACACTATCGCAGTAATTAGATCTCTCTATCTCTCTATCTGTCTATAAATCTGATCATATATATATATATGTATATATGCTATATCTATCTAGCTATCGATCTATCTCTCGATATATATACACATAACACTAAACACATGCATCTTCAACACAAGTGGCTACATAGAACTATAATTACTGACACCGCTCCTGCAATTACCCTCTTGCGTCCATTCTTTCCATTGCCGCTCATGAAGCTGGTGAGACTACTGCGTGCCTGCTGCATTATCACTTCCTTTTCCTGGCTCGTGTGCACAGTGCTGCTACAGACATGACTGCAGACGGGTAAGATCGGCTAAGCGGCTAAGTGTACTTGCAGAAGGTCGCGCGAGCATGCCTGTGCCTCTGTTCCGTGTCTCTGTGTCTGTGGTGCGTGTATGTGTCTGTGTGTGTGTGTGTGTGTGTCATAACTTTGCAGCGCAGCCACTGTCTCGACGAGCTCGATCCCTCACCGTCCAGCAGCTTGGCCTCCTGACATCATGCCCAGGCGCTTGTGCGCCAATCCGGCCTGTGCCTGGTCGGCAGCAGGCACTCGTCAACAGGTGGCCGCTGCCGGAAGTCGCTTCTGTGATCGCGAGGTGATGCACGCTTGGTGCCTGCAAGGAACCAAACGGAGGGCGCTGACGCGCATGCTCAGAATGATGCCAGAAGCTGCTGCCGTTGAGGTTGCCTTGGCACGCATTCCTGAGGACTTCCAGGAGCACTTTCGCAGGCAGCTATCAGAGCACCGGTGGTGCGGCGGTCTCGCCGGTGAGGCTTGTGCCTTCGCTCTGCGGCCAGAGGGTGGCCAGGCGCGAGTGGCCGGCGCACGCACTTCTTGTCTCCTCTGCGATCCAGCCAAACTCGCGCTTAAGTGCTTGCATGGTCCTCTTCTATGAAATCATGTTGGCAGCTACATTCCTTTGACAGTCCCAAACTACCGTGCGCTGGTCACGATGCTGTAGTCGCAGTGTTACAAACAGGTAATGTGGTCACGATACGGTAGTCGCAGTGTTACAAACATAGTCATGAAAGCATTATGCTAGGTAGTCTGACGTCATGATACTCGTACTTGTCGCGGTCGTCGTGTTCCCGCACGTCCAGAACTTTGTGGCTGTACAGGAGTGCTCGTGACTGCGTTTCTTGCCCGCCCAAAGATAGCGAAAAAGGGTCTCGCAAATCCTGCTCGGGGTCTAGTGTGAGTTTGCGTTTCGCACTTGATGTGCCCCATGCACGAGCTGCCACAGACTGCTGCGAGAAACAGAAAGTGCCCGAATTGGCAGCCTTGTCTCTCGAGCCCTCTGTTTTCTTACTGACTGCGCGCGAAGACATGCCAAAGCTGTGCGCGAACCATGGCTGCACCTTTTCGGCCCGCGGCGGCCGAATGCAAATGTCCTCTGCGGGCACATGTCCGTTTTGCGAGACCGAGGGTGACCTGCTGCGGTCTTTGTGCCTGGATGCATCGGGGCGGACGAGGTTGCTGAAGATGCTCAAAGCCATGTCAAATCCGGAAACGCGAGATGTTGCCCTTTCGCGCCTTCCAGAGGAGTTCCGTCAAGGTTTCCGAGCCAAGCTCCACGTGCGGAGGTGTTGCCCTGGTCTGGCTGCCGAAGCTTGCTGCTTTGCCCTCCGACCGGAAGGCGGAAGCGCTCAGCTGAACAAGCGGGAAGGGAGCTGCCTGCTTTGCACGCCTGAGGAGCTGTCGGCAAAGTGCGCCACTCCGCACGGTCGAAGCCTGGTCGCCACGAAGCTGCGCAAGATGGCCGCCGTGCACCGCGACAAGGCCCTGCAGGAGCGCGTGCCGGAGCAGTGGCGGGAGGCGCTGGCGGAGCTTCTGGCAGGCGCGCCGAGCGGGGGAGTAAGGAAGCGCCCGGCCGCACATACGGGGCCTCGTCGTGCCCCGCGACAGACGTCCCGAGGCTTGGCAAGCATGATCTCTGAAGATGAGCTGCAGCAACGATGGGGCCTGGCTCTGTCTCGGAGCACGAGTGGTTCGGCACCAGCCAGCGCAGCTGCCAAGGCGGCCTATCGCGAGAGGGTTCTGGCAGACCGGGCCACGGGTCGGCGCCACGCTGGCCGTGCGCGCCAGCAGCGCGCGAAGAAGGGCGCGGTGGTCGACAACGAGACCGGGCTGCCACGTGCCAAGCGCTCTGCGCGCGCCGCAGCCCTGGAGCGCTGGTGTCTCTTCTACTCCTGGGCGCAATGCGCCCAGTGCGGGAGGATGCAACCGCGGCAACTGACGCAGAGCACTCTGGTCAAGGACCAGAAGGTCACGGTTCCGGCCAGTCAATGCAGTCGCTGCAGCGCTGCCCATAAGGCCTCGGCGGTCTCGATTGAGGACGTGCCCGAACAACTCCGCGACCTCTCACCGGAGGCGGCGGCGGCCTTGAGCCCTTTGGAGGTGGATGTTGGCCCAGAGCAGCGAGCGAAGTTCGGGACTGGGTACCGTACGCACACAACCATGATGCGTTTTCGCTGGCATTCCCTTTCTGTGGAGCAGCGCCTGCGACGGATCGGCGACAAGCACCAGAGGAAGAGGGCCAAGGCCGCGTATCGCTACCTGCTGCACATCGACGAATCTGCCTACAAGGTCTTCGACGCCGAGCACCGCACCTTCTTAGAGAAGCACCCGGACGCAGACGAAGCCCTCCGCAAGCGGCGCCTGCAGTTCATCGAGCGCGAGGGGCTGGAGTGCGCGTTGTGGCCATGCCTATTTTGGCGCACCGATCTTACCTTCTCGCATGAGCGGGCGTCCGATCCGAGGAGGCAGCAGGGAGACACCTTGGAGGAGGCCATGTTTCCAGGGGTTGACCAGCAGGATTCGGAGGAGCCCGAGTCGGAAGAACTCGACAACAAGAACGTGCAAGAAGAGGATGACGACCTCGTGCGGCACAGCGTCAAGAGGCTGTTCTCCAGCCTGTCCCTCGGCCTCCTTCTCGGCTACACCGAGCACTTCGAGATCCTCCAGTATGTGTACGACCTCCACCTCTGGACTGACCTGGGCTCGAAGCGCAACCTGGGGCGCGGCGTTCCCATGCGGTTGATGATGGGTGGCGCGTCCTGGAGTCCGGTTTACTGGCGCAGGGTGCAGCTGGGACTCGTGGACCTGGTGCGGCAGGTCGGGTTTCCTCAATTCTTCTGGACCCTGTCACCCTCGGAGTGGACCATGCCTTACCATGTCTTCGTTCGCAACCGCATGGAGCAGCTGCTGAAGGAGCGGCTGCACCTCCCCGTCGAAGAGACCCTACACATCGCTCATGTTCTCACGCAGACCGCCAAGGGATTTCTTATGGGGGCCACCGGCGGCAAGACCGGCTGGACGGACAACGTCTTCCACGTGGAAGACCCTCGCGGTCTTGGCCGCAGACTGCACGCCTTCATGCGCCTGGAGTTCCAAGACGGAACCAGGAAGCTGCCTACACAAGACTACCATGGTTCCGGGCGGGCGCATCTGCACATGATCATCTTTGGAGCCGAAGACCTTATTCGCAGGCTTCCCATGGCCGACGCCGTCCGCGCCACGCTGCCGGAGCTCGAGGACGACGCCGACCTGCGCGGCTACGTTCTTGGTTCGCAGCTGGATCATAAGGGTGACAGCGGGCGTGAGATTTGGGAGGCACCCACCTGCTTCGATGAGGACAAGCACGTCTGGCGACTGGCCCACTCGGACGAGGATCACAGTCGTGGGCTCCGGGCCTATGTGGTGGACGTCTTGGACGCTCTCAAGTGTCACCAGGACTTCTTGATTGGAGACGACAAAGCGGGCATGCTCCGCACTTACATCACCAAGTATCTCTCCAAGTTTTCGGACAGCGCATCCCAGGAGTGGCTCAACGATGACGCCGACGCCACCAGCATCGCCACCACGGTCCTGATGAGATACCACCCTTTGGAGCCGGAGATGACCCTTCAGCTGTTCGGCCAAAAATTCCGGCAGTGGCACATGACCACCGTCTCCGGTGGCAAGCGTGATTTCGTCGTGCCCGTCCCCGACGTCGAGGAACGCCCGAAGGAGGTCATCTTGTACGAGGCCGCGGCGTGGGCGCGAGGCAAGATCTCGCTTTTGGACTTCCTCCGAAAGACCACCAACGAGGGTCACATCTGCAACTGGCTGAAGAAGCTCCACAAGCGAATGGATCCGGAGACACCCTTGTCTGAGTTCGCTGCTGCCTATGAGGTTCAGGGCGAGAAGGTTGTCGCCGCGGAAATGAATTCGCGCCTCAGCGACCGCTTCTACGGGCAGTGGCTCGTTCTCCATTGCCCATTCGATTCCCTCGCTGACTTCCTACGAGATGCGGAGCGCTTGGCGAGGGTCCCCCGGGAGCATCGGTACATGGGGATGGCCGTCTTGCACGGCTACGGCCAGAGCATGGAAACCATCGAGGAAGAATTGCGGGTGGAAGGGCACGGCCTCGCAGCCTCGAAGAGCATCCTGAACATGATCCGCAGCACCCGCGTCCTCGTGTCGGACTACATGGAAGGTCGCCTGCAAATGCTGCCCGCCACCTCTGCCGGCAGCCAAGAAAATCGGGACGCTGCTTCGGGGCAGCGGTCCGCCGCCAGGAGCTACAACCGCCAGCAGGAGCGCTTCAAGGCCCTGCTGGACAAGGCCGTCTCGCGCGCCGTGGCCTGCCGCACGACACAGGATGAGTTCGAAGCAGACAATCTCC